CGAGAACAGCGAAAAGTACCGGGTTCTTTATTAGAAGGAAGTACACCTTTAACTAAGAAAGAGCGTAAATTACGGTAAATCCACGCTAGTGTTTACTAGCCATCATCTAAGAAATTGTCTCTTTATCAATTTAAGAAAAAGCTGAAAATTGATTTAATTTCTAAATATTAAGATCAAGTTTTAATACTTTTACAAATTAACTTAAATATGCTGTAAAGACTGATGATGCTCTTGTGTGCTGCGTGTGTATTTGCATAGTTTTTATGTCTTTTTTGTCACTTTTTCAATCATATTGACTTTTTTGCCTATGTGTTTATACGGTGTGTTATTATGCTCATTATTATAATTGTAAAAAAAGCAGAAATCCCGACCCTAAATGTAATGACTTTTAATTAAGAATATGTAAACCGACTTCCAAGCATTTTTAGCTTTCTAGTTATTTTTGGAAGTTGGTACCCCTGAATCTGTTTATAACATAAATAACGTATCAAATTAGAAAATAATGTTAAAATGGGTACAAATAAAGTTCTTACCCTTAATTTGATTGGTTAACAGTTTGCATATTAATTAGGGTGCGGTAGGAAAAAATCGAGGGTGTTCATTGCAGGCCCTCCGGCCTCTCCTTCCTTCCTCTTCCCAATCCCCCTCCCCTTCCTCACCTCAGTCCCCAATCCCCTTCCCTTCCCTTCCATTTCGGCCGCTACGCAGGCTATTTGGGCCGCTACGCAGGCTATCAGCCAACATGATTTGGAGTCGGCCGAGAGGACYTTGGGACGAGTTTGTAATCGATTGACATATTTATTTCCATCATTTAAAAGTAAGATTTCCCATATGGTCTAGTGGTTAGGATCCGGCGCTCTCACCGCCGTGGCCCGGGTTCGATTCCCGGTGTGGGAAGTAATAATTTTTGATCTTTTTTTTAAATCAGTGGAATTTTGATTTTTTTTKATGTGTGTTATTTTCTTATTTTATGGCTGCGAATGCACCTCAGTATAAGAATTTTTTTATGATTTTGAAGTTCAAAACGTGTATGGTTCTTTAATAAAATCGTGAAGATTATCAGTCAGCGGTTTTTGAGCGCGCGCACATCATGGGCTCAAATCGAATGTTCAAAAGTAGGCAGTCGCCTGAAAAGAGCACACCAGCTATCAAAATTTTATAGAAAAATGGACAGGAARCCTAATCTAAATAAGAAAACACTACGCATGCGCGCATACAAAGATTAGTCGTAGTCAAGGCCAAAGCTACCCAAGTGAATAGGTAGGTACATCTCATCTTCTTCTTTTCGGATTAAACTGAAACATGAAATAAAATAACAGTAATTTAGCCGCCAATAGTTTCAAACSSTATCCCACATGGAAAGGAATGAGTATGCGTTCAAAGCCATCAGCGTCACAATCAAAATTTTGAGTTTGCTGGTCATAGCAAGGGGTTAATCATCTACGGTCTAGGGGCCGACTAACCTCTCCCTTAGGCTGCGGCCGAGCTTCCTGATCAGTCTGTAATTCTTCGGATAGCGGTGTTGGGGTCGAAATCTCCGGCATAGCCGTAAATGCTTCGCGCTGCCATACTGCGCTTCGGCACTAGATGTCTGGAGGTATGGTCCTGGTTTAAAAAATCAGGAATTAAAAATCCTAATAATRATCTTTCCATAGCAGATGAACTTTAAGAGAGATCGTTCCATGGACGTAACCAGGTGTCTTCCAGGGTGGGTGCACAGGGAATGGGATTGGAACTATGTCTTAACTKCTATGAACAGCTGTCTTTAGAAGTGGTATAACAGAAACATGGAAACATGAAATAAAATAACAGAAAATTAGCCGCCAATAGTTYCAAACCGTATCCCACATGGAAAGGAATGAGTGTGCGTTCAAAGCCAGCAGCGTCACAATCAAAATTTTGAGTTTGATGTTCATAACAAGGGGTTAATCATCTACGTTTGGAGGGGTGATATGGACAAAATKGTTATTCGTTATACAGCCTTTTATATTTTAGCGTACCAAGGGCCTATATATGTAAAACCTCTATGTGATATGCCGTACCTCTAAGCGACATATGGCAATATTTAGTGTAATATGGCGTACCGCTATGCGATATGGCGTACTTGAATGCGATGGGCCGTACTTCAATGCGATATGCCATACCTCTATGCGATATGGCGTACTT